GCACAGAGGTTTTCACACTAATCCAATCAATCCCTGTCCAGGACACAAAAGAAAAGAGACTTCATGGATAAGAGAAAGTTGAGAGAGCAGCTCCTTGATGACCGACAAAACAGAGAATATACAAGAGCAAAAAAATGTGTGGAGAAACAAACAATATCTCAGTGACTGAAGATGCTTCTTCTGCTATTAACCATCTCTCAACCCCCTTGTGCCTATTAGCCATCATCTTACCACTCAAAAAAGAATTCCGCCCAACAGATTGTGAACTTTAAAAATATAGTGATATGCAGTCGATTAGCACTTAGCAGGCCCAATTACCAATGTTTCTGAGAAAATAACTTAATTAAAACCCTACATTTCCAATTCCATCCCATAATTCTAACCCTGTAATTGTGTTTCCAAATTCTAAATCCAAAAGTTCTTACGCTACATTTTAACTACTTCGATGAATTCCCGAATTGTTTTAATGAAACTCCATAAACAACCGTCTAACCATGATTGATTAACATACTAGCTAAACTTTTTCTTATAATAAGTAGGAGTGTAAAACTTTAACACAAACAGCAAGAATTTAATGTTTGATTTGATTTATTCAAAGAAATGATGTCTACCCACCATGAAAGTAATATAGACATCTAAGGCCTTAACCATCTCCCAGCCCCATCTTACCCTATTAGCCACCACCCTACCACTTAACCATAAATGACCCTGCTCCCCAAAAGATTCTGAACTTAAAACACAATACTCAGTAGAGTAGCACTTAACCAAAGCTCTGTTTTTTTCAATTCCATTCCATATTTCTATCCCTATAATTGTTTCGCAAGTTTTAAATTCGGAAGTTCCTATGCCAGCAGATATGACAATCATTTCCAATGAAACTCCATAAACAGGTATCTAACTATGATTAATTAACAAATATTACAATCACTTCCTGTAACAGCCAGCAGTATAAAACTCCGACACCAAAAGGCATCACATAAAAAGTAAAAAAAAAAAAATGTTTGGTCAATTCAAAGATATAATCTCTACCCACCAATTCAATTGCACCTAAAGGAATAAATCCCCCCATTTTATGCCCATTACTCCATCAAAAATTCCCAACCTCGCGTTCACAGGCTACTAATCCTGCTCTCAAAAGGTCAAAAAGCAATGGCCATCCTAAAAACACACCAAAGCATCATCTTTGCAAATTTGAATCCATCCAAAACACTGCTCTCCAATATCAAAAACCAATGAGAAAAACCAAATGATAAACCAAAAAACAAGCCAAGATATCAACTTGCCAAAAACTTTAATCCCGCTAGGTACCCGAAACACCAATCACACAACACCCAAAAACGAATAAAAAAAGAGAGACAGACCGTGATGGGCATATAAGTAAGCGTTTTTCCACGAGTAGATATGATCCCCTGGCCTTAACACATCTCTCTTGATACTATTCGAAAGAAGTCCCATTGCAATTTGCTTGCTTTTGCTCTGCTTCCTTAGCCTCTACGCTACGCAGTTGCCATGGGATATTTTGCCTTCCAACTTTCCAGTTCGAGTCTTACTATATTAATGAAACTTAGTTTGGAATTTGCCCTTTTAGTTTTGGGACAAGTACAACATAGTACCCAAATTATATGCTCATAGCAGATCAGTTCCTGAACCTTTAAATATCTCTGGTACTCCTGGATTATATGGTTCGTAAAGAGAATCATTGAAAAAATGTATTTTGATTACCATTTATTTTTCTAATTCAACCAATAATATCTTTATTTTAAAAAATAATTATATTTACATGCAAGCACTCAAACTTAGCCAGATATTATATTTTAATGTGATATATGCAATATATATTTTTAATTATAGTAACGCTATAGTAACACATGAGCATATGACCGACACATGATCAAAATACATCTAAAAATTATTATTATTATTTTTTTATTAACGTGGATGTTCGGGTCAGTTTGCGTGTACCACGACTAATCTCACAGCACACTAAACATCTTGCAAGCCTAGTAAACAAGTAAGGCACCGCGAAATGATAGACATACCACACAGAGAGGACCTAATAGAGACATGAAGGGAACAACTCTCCAGCTCCACTCCTATTAGGACTCGAACCTGGATTCGAAGAAAGGAGAGCTGCCCCAACAACCACTGAGCCACAACCCTATTGATTATCTAAAAATTATTATAACTACTCTATGCTTCAAACCTTTCAATCATCAATAATTTTTTTTTAAAAAAATTCATTCTCAAAATTTGGCTTTACAAAGTTTTTAATAAACAATAATGTTTTATGTAACAAGAATTCTATTATAATCATGAGAGAGCTCTATTACGTAATATTTATATTATTTAAAGGATTTATACAAAAACAAAGGGTTTAAAAACCAAATCATATACACATATCATTATTTTCAAGCTGATTATTACTTATAAAACTAAAACTTCTAGTAGTGGACATATATGGATGACACTATTCTCCTCCTTATAAAACATTATATATTTTTATTAATTTTATTTTGATTCTCAATGTTTTATTTTGTTTGATTTGATCGTAATTAAAAGCCTAAACACTTAGTTGATGGTTAAAAAAAGAAGAATCGAACTAAAGCAAGCACCAAACATGGGTGGAGTGTCAAAGATTACATAAAAAATTCACTTACATTCTCGATCTTTAAATATAACACAATATATATAATCCTAGTTCCTTTAATTTTTCAAAAAATCAATTTTCATATCCAAGTTTATTTGTTTTATTTTTCAGATCTTGATCAAGAAAACGAGAGAGAAAGAAAGGATTGTTGGATTCTAGCTAGGAGAGAGAAATTCATTGTTAACTCTATTTTTAGCGACCCAAATGAGTTTTCTTTGTGTCTATAAGTTCCATGAGATGATAAGGATTTTGTGGTGGTTGTAGTGATCCTCAATTTTGCATGAAAAATCAAATATAGGCTAGAAAAATCAAAACAAAATCAATTAGATTTTGGATTGTTCTTTTTTTAGGTATTTGAATTTGATATAATAGTTTATAGGTGTTATGAGGGTGTTGATGAAGTATTTTTAAGTTGAAATAGCTTGAATTTTTTGTTTTTGAAGCTAAAGACAAGTTGCGTCTATTTTTCAACCTAAATATGGATTTTTAGACGACATGTTGTCTTATCTACTTTTCTTCTAGAAAAATAGAAGCAAACAATAAATCATCCATTCATTTTTAAAAAATAAAAATAAGCTCAAGCTTGCAAACATGGGCTTGAAGGCCCGCCAACGCTCCTCGGCTTTTTATTTCAATGGCCTAGGCATGCTAGCTTATGGACCTGCAAGTTCGGGTCTTTTGACTCTCTCTCTCTCTTTTTTTTTTCTTATAAAAGGGTTGAATATAATTTTTAAAAAAATATTAAGCCAGATTGAATTCATATTTCAGGTCACAAGTTTAACATATTATGTCATAACAATTGAGCAATTATTTTTTTTCATAATATTGCTTTGTTTTACTAGTATCATTTTTTAAAAATAATTTTATAATTTATGTTTTAATTAATATTTCTTATCAATGATTTTTCTTTTCTTATTTAATTTTTTTTATAAAAATTATTTTTTGATGGTACTGTGCATGTTTGATGGTACTGTGCATGTTTAATTTTTGAAAACATTATTTTGATTCATCAATAATGTTATTTAAAATTCTTTTATATACAAGAATATTTGATTTTTTAACACCTTTGATTTTTTATTTTATTTTTAGTTATCATTAAAGTATTTTTTTTCATTTATTACTATATATAATTCTCAATTTATTTAATTATATATATATATATATATATGTATAAACTTTTCAATTTATGCTTTAAATATCTATAGGTACAAAAATGCATAAAAAAACCTAAATGTACAGGTTTCTTGTACGAGGAAAAACAAGTTTGCCTACGAACAATGTGTTAGCTATTTTTTTTTTAAAGAAAACATTGGAGTGAATGACATGATAATAATATTAAATAATTTTTTACAATTTGTTACCATAACCTTTGGGTCACAACCTTTTAAATTAAGTTAAGTATCAAACAGGTTATGGCTCAGTGGTATTGGCGCTGCTTTTCTTTTTTTGAATTTTGGTTTGAGTTCTAGTGACAGTGAGGCTGGAAAATAGTTTCCTTCATGTTTTTATTGGATTTTTTCTGTGTGGTACGCCTGTTACCCTCGCGGTGTCTTACTTGTTCATTGGACTTGCAGGATGTTCAGTGGACCGTGAAATTAGTTGTGGTATACACAAACTGGCCAGACACCCACGTTAATAAAAAAAAAAAGTTAAGCACATAAACCATCTTGTGCATGAAAATACCATAAATTAGTTAAGCACATAAACCCATCTTGTGCATGAAAATACCATAAATTATTTATATCTCATCCCTTTATTTACATCATATCAACAACATATATTACATGATTAAAATTAAATTAAACATTTACAACAAATGTTGCGGTTTCCATTAATAAAATTAAATTTATATCTCATCCCTTTATTTTATTTTGAAATCGAGTTTATTTCTGTTACTCAATAAAGTTTTTGTCTAGGGTTTACATCTTCAATCCTTTTTCCATTCCATACTTATTCAGACTCCTTCACATTATCATTTACTTAATTCCTGTTAATTTTATTTTTTATTTTCAAAACTTCTAAGTTTCCAAGGGATCACAATTGGAACATTTTAAAAAATTTATGATCGATTCTCAGCATATCACGATCCAACAAGCTAGTCTTTGTCTGTATAAACAACCTTATAAAATGCTTAACGGTCTCATTAAATTAGCTTCCCCGATTATTGAAGTTTGTCTCTCTATCATTTTCAAAAATCTCCTATAGATAAGAAAAATCCTAAACAAAGAAATCTTGTGGGAGCGTCTCACTCTGTGAATAATTTGTCAAAAATTACAGTAAAATTTCTTCAGGTGGTAATTCGAAAGGGCGACCAGCGGCAACAATACTTGTCTAACAAAAATGGAGGTAGTCATGAGAAACGTATAACTTCCTTGTATTGAACTGTTCTGATGTTGTAACAGCTTCATGAAGAGCTTTAACATCATGATTAGCCATTCAAAGATGGGAACAGAGATTGCCACAACATATCCAGTTGAAGCTTGGGTTAATATCTATGGATTGCCATCGACTTGCAAGAAAGGGTGCATCAGTGACAAATGATGCAGATAATATTGAAAAAACCAAACTGATATGCATCTCCTAACAACATGGGATATAGACTCTGAGTAATTTATAAAAATGACAGAATGTGCTGTCTTGACTTTTTGGAGAGAAAAAAACCCATTAAATCACCAGAATGTATTATGGTTCCCATCTCCATTGACTGACCAATCTCCAAATCTGGCTGTTTCATTCTGTATTCTTTTGCGATGTCAGTTTCCATCATTGTGGCTCCATTAGTGACGACAAATTTCTAGTTGAAATCCAAATGTTCAGGGAAGCTCAAACACATTGGCATCCAGATGCCAAAAAGATTTAGGCTGTATACTTCACAGTTTGGGCTTGTCTTCTTGTCGACGAGGAAATAGAGATCAAAGAGCATCAGAAGACATGATATCATCCACAAGAAGCAGAAGCAACAGTTGCATGCCATGCGTACTGTATAACCTTAGCTCTGAGAATGATTTGCATAAAAGTCAAAGATCTTCGAGCCTTAGGAGGCATAATCCCATGCAAGGCTTGTTAAACTTCAGTTATGCTCTGGCATCCTGTTATCTGCTGCAGAAGCCTCTATCGCATCCTTTCAGAAATTCAGGGCAAAATGGGGAGCTCCACCCTCTTGAAGGAAAAGAAGCTGACACGCCCATGATCTACATGACATAACTTCAAAGGAATCCCACCACATTGTCTCTCAAGAACTTCACTTTTTGCGTTGGCTGGTGGACTTCCCCTGCAAAGTAAGGCAAGTTAAACAGTACTATACAGATTAAAATGAGAAATAGATTGGCTTTAAAATGGAAACAAACTAATGAGATGAGACGCATTAGGGCTTGATATGTGATGATCCTGGAATTCCTCTCATTAGCATCCAGATTGCAACATATATTTGAAGGACTTAGTCAGCTTTTTTCTTTTTAAAAGTCATCAATGCCATTAGCATCTTTTCTGTCAGCTTTTTTCTTTTTAAAAGTCATCACTTATCATCAGTATGCAACTTGTGCAAATGACAATGGACTTCTTGGATCTCATAAATTACAGACTTCAGATTTCCAAATGACAATGGACTTGGATCTCATAAATTACAGACTTCAGAGGGAAACTGTGTTTATTTGCAACTAAACAAATTTCCAGCAACAAAAAAATTTCTAGCATGGCAGCTAACAGCCAGCACAGCAAACCATGGACACAACTCTTATGAAGTTATTCACTAAAGTAAGAAAAAGCCTAAATGATTTCCAAGGGTTCTTTTACATGAAAATAAAAGATGGAAGATATGATGAGCACAAACAGACTGACAGGATTTTCCTTAAAATGCAGTAATATGAGAGGACAAAAAAAAAAGTGATCAAAGAACTTCAACAATCAATCACCTCTCAAGGAAAAGGTTTTCAAATTATTCAGGTTTTACTATCATGCTTACCTAACTAAGCATAGCAGAAAGGCTGGATCACCGGGTGAAGACTTTCTAAACTTGCTATTTGGAAGATAAACGTCAAAATTTAGCCTCAGCTCATCAACTTGCAAATTACTGAGCATCTGCACAGCGCAAGTAATGCTGTTCTCTTCAACACCTTCAACCCTGTTGTTTTGAATAGTCCCTTGAGAAGAACAAGGTTTGCTGTTATTCTCAACACCCTTCATACTCCAAGGAACACCATGACGCCCAACAACATAACCAAGAGACTTCAAGTGTTTATATACCTCAAAAAGCTCCCAGCTGCACCCATTCGTTTCTTCAGAAATCTTCTTGTATATGTCTTTCAATGCAAGACACTCATCATTGTCATCCATAACAAGCAATGCCCCAATTTCAGCCAAAAACCTATGACAGAAAAGGTTATTCACCAATAAGATAATCTAAGAAAACTAAGACAATTACTCAATTCATGTGTTCTTGTCCTTCCAAACCATACTTATAAACATACAACTTGTTTTGTTTCGTTGACTGTTGCAAAAAAAGAACTAAACTTTCAAGCCTTCACTTATCACATCCATCTATCTATAAAATAATCCCTAAGAGAACAGTCTTTACCAAAGATTCTTCCTTGGAATCACTTCTAAAAAAACTCAACCATTGAATTATTGATTTCAACCGGCAA